ACATCAAAAGGGTATTTCGCAAAACAACGCCAGCATTTACTAGTGCGCAAATCAAGTGAACATCACGCGCCAAACTTCACATTAATGAATGAACCTGATTGCTGACGTTTATCAATGAAAATTACGCTTGTGCTTTTTTCTAGCGCTCTTCATTACTTACGTGCTCGACCTCGCAAACTGACCACAGTCTTCACTTTGCGACCCGAATACGCAACTTGTAATTAGTCAAAGTTGCACATCACCTTTGCAAGCAATATTTACTTGCTAGTACTCAGAGAATTAAATCAACAAAGCATTTTATCAAATTTGACCTTCTGACCGAGTTCATCAAAACAACGCGGATTGATTATCTGTAGTCCGCTGTCAAAACTGTCCGTCTAATCCGTGAAACACAGAACTCAATACAGCGGTGTTTACAGCAATTTGCGAGGCATTAATAATCCTCTTACCTTTGGGCACCTGTTTTTCTTAGACAAAATATGCCTCGCAGAGAATATAAGACGCATAGATTGAAATTCTTTCGGCAGAATGTTTCTAGAAGAATCTATGAATCGAAAAATTTGGTAGAAATTAAGCGGTTGCGGTAACGACAACTATTACTTCTGACTAGCATTGCTTTTAACCTCAAAGCTTGTTCGAACTTTCCTTGTGAATCTAGGAAAAAAACAAGCAACTACACATACTACAGACAAAATGTTTCTTTAGTTTCTCAGGGTACCAAAAGAAACACTCTTAGACAGAACACACAGGCCTGGCTTGCGCCAGTCTATTCTTTCTATTCACAGTGTGCACCGCAACACAACCGTGTCAGCATTTCGCTAACTACTGATCTCTAATGGGCAATGTTGGCTTCCAGGGTTATAGCTTTCCTGGATAAAACCAGGGGTCAAGCATTAAAGGCCATACATTTGGTGTAATAATATATACTATGGATGGATTGATGCTCGTTGTTCATGACATCAAGAAAGCATGAAACTGCTGAACAGTGCTATAGCCTCATCATGATACATTATTATGGTCCAACTTTAGCATGACAAAGTGCCTCCATGAAAAAGCGTTACGTTATCACCGCATTTCTGCTGGGACTTGTAAACACAGTATTCTTCTTTTCAGTTCTCTCTCGACTCATTATGGAAAACATCCAGCATTACCTCTGATCGATGTTGACTGAGTGCCAATCCAAATTAAAACAATTTAGTTCTCTATTTCCTTTTCTCACTGAAGTCTTTTAAAAGATTTTTCTAGCCGATTCCAGACAGTCTGCTACAGTACCGTTTTCGTCAAAATCGTGAGATCGTACACTTCAATGGTATGCGGCTAATAGAAAGTAAGACATAAGTGGGTATTATATCAGATATGTTGCCTTTGATTTGCGGTAATTTCATGTTCAATCCCGTAAATGAGGCTGAAAAAACGAAGTACTGAGAGGAACAAATGTAATGAAAATCGGGATGTTGCACGATTTTTTTTTCAATGCCTGTACAATAATAACAAATCTGAAAATTGATAGCACAGTTCAAATGCTTAGTGACAACAATGGTTTTGCTCTTAGTTAGGTGTTATCTTCCATGTCAAGATAATTTATTGTGCCTACCACTAAAAAACCGTGAAGGCATTCTGCAACTGTTTTGTCATGGTCTAAAATTATCATCGGTTCGATAAACCCATCAAAACTGCAACGACTTGACTTCTGTTTCATGTAATGCCCATAGGTTCATGTCTTTGATCGACAGCTATAGGTCATTCAATAGTGTATACGTTGATCTAGTAATCATTTACTGTGATCGAATGAGTAATACCAAACCATTAAGCCTGCTACTTGAGTCATTGAAGTGGTAGACAATTATCATTTGAATGTGAGTACATAGTTGCAAGCTACTATGAAGTGTAAAACACAACTGCTTTAATTTATGTGCAGTAATAAGTATGGTTGCTTTTTGAGACTTTATTTTGGAGGGTGTAAAATCAAATACAAATTCTGTACGATACTAATCAATAAAATAAACATCACATCAAGATGAAACCGAGGGGCATGTATCCCAATGTGAAAGACAATAAGTGTATGAGAACTGGCCGTATTTGTCAAAGAGTAGGATCTCGCTACAATCAGTTTAATGTATCAGATTATACAGTGTAAGTAGCACACAATCTGATCAAAAAGGCCCCAGAGGAAAAAAGATTTTGATTAATTTACAAGAAAGTGGGAAACCAAGTTCAACAGACTCATATAATAGCGAAAGAGAACAGTAAACGCATTTAGACTGATCATTCTGTGACTTGCGGTGAGGTGCCTTAAATTCTAGATAATGAATTTGCTAGTTAAGCGGTGATGTAGACTACGTGTTTGTCACTTTTTCTATGCCAGCCGTTCAGTGAGAATAAGGGGTGCCTCGTGATACAATTTTAGGCCTGAAACGTGATTTTGGTGAAGACCCCAGCAAAGACTGGGGATAGAAATGGTCCTGTCTAGAGGAGGGCGTCCATAATGAGCCTTTATAATGGCCCAGACATAGACTAACATAAAGCAACTGTTTGTCGAGTAAAACGTTTGCTGAGTAAATGCGCATAACGAACTTACAGATACTCAAAACGAAACAGTATCGATAAGCATAAATCGATTAACCTTTGAGTGATTGTTCCACTTTCAAGTAACTGGACAGGATGGGGTTTGGGAGCATCCTTAGATGCGCGTCTGTGTGCATGTATCCTTACATGGGTGTAATATCAGGTATGTTCAGTCACAATTGTAGAAAGTTGTGCACTAACCTGAACAAATTGTGGGAATTTATATGTGCCGAATATGAGAACTGAAAATCTTAGATCGTCTGACACAAACGTTTTCGGTCCTTGTGTAAACTTAAAAATCCGAAAACTCCTTCTCAGTACCTAGTTTTACACAGCACGGTCTGTACGAAGGAAACCCAGATGACTTCAACCATAAGACAATAGATCTGGTAAAAGTTTTTTCTGTAAGGGAAACGTAAACCGTAAACCGTATCGTGAGTGTCATTTGAAATCAAAATTTGAAAGTGTCGAGTTTACGTTGTTGTTGTTCTTTGTGCTGTTGTTGTCGGTTGTTTTTTACTCTACCCAGATATTTTTGTAAAAGAAGGTTCTTTCTTCTTATTGAATGCGGTAAGTTCCAATATTTTTTTCGCGATTCTTATTGTAAACAATTTGATTTGATTTATCAAAGTACTTTTATTGTCAATTGTATAATATAATATGCACCAAGATTCAGTTGGAACTACACACCTCAGATTGTTTACATAATGGAACAGTTGTTTAGTCTCCAAACTGTCGATATGCTAGATTATGTGTGGTTGCCACATAAATCCCTATAAGTGATCGGCGACGAGGAAGAGGAGGAGAGGCGCGTATTCACTTCCCCACCGGCTCCCATTCACATTCAATGCATAAATTGGGAGCTGAATAAAGTGGTCCCTCCGCTTGTGACCGATAAAAGTAAACAGATACCATATATTTATTGCACAGTATTCGATATTATAAGTCCTTATTCAGAACAGTGTGTGATGGACACAGCATAGTTACCCTCAATTGTTGCAATATTTTCAATTTACCAATAATCAATTTACTACTCATAAGTAGGTAGTTCTCTTTTAACATGGACTGGTGGTTGACTTACTTCGATTGATTCAATTAAACCCAAACTTGATTTAAGATCGCCTTTCCAGACTAAAAGCTAAGTACAGACGCAAATAACTAAATTTTCACTTATAGAACAAACTATCCGAACATTTATCCACAAAGATGTTTAAAATGAGTCACTCACAGATTTAGAATAGCGTCATTCTCTCTCAAAAATATCCTAAATGTTCATTGTTGGTTAAATTTTTCTATTGAACCCAATGTATCTTGCTACCTACCTACATCGTCAAATCAATATTCGATTTATTTTAACAATAATGCTCCTTTTCTGCATTTTTCCTCCGCCTCATAATTATTTGCTTCATTCACGAACCCCGGATCGCACTCGGAATTCGCCGTTCAGGTATGGAATCCATGGTTGAACCGCGGCAAGAAGGCTCTAGAACGTCTGCAAAGGTTGGCAAAAAATTGGTAAAAGGTCTGCATAACATGAGATACTCCGAAAGACTGCAACTATTAGCACTTTACTCATCTCAATAACGCCGACTTGGCATTTCACTTACTGCATCAACCTAACCTCCGTTGCTGTTCTATGCTGACTTTATCTCAAAATGGTCACCCCAAGGGACATCCACTAAAACCCAGAACAGCCACCTTGATTGCCAGTATCCCTCAATTGCAGTCACAGTGTGCGGGGTATGGAATTATCTACCATCCCATGTAGTGTGTACTGCTACAGTTGAACCGTTTAAATCGCAACTTGATAAAGCATTGGAGCAATTAAAATTTCGACAGCCGTGAGTGATCACGCAAATTGTTATTATTATTCTCCCTTTACGAAGCTATTCAAAATATTCTGTAAAAATCCCATGGAGCATGATAAGCTTAATAATAAAGTATTAATAAATAATAGTAAGAATAAAACTTTGACCTTGACTTTATTTTGCGTGATACAGTTTCCATTCCTTTCACCCAGGAGGATTTTCATATTTGCTGGTTGTGAACTAATTCATCATGTTTCATTTAGCTTATCGGGTAGGGCTCACGGAAAAATCACCATCATCCTCATCAATGAAGCTCTCCGAAAATACACAAACATGGACGCTCAGTTCGCAAGAGCACAAATCGTTCTATGGGTACTGAAATGAACTAATCTTTTGAAATCTGTTACATAATTGAAGAACATTCTCCACTTCTGTTTCGGATCACGGAGAGTATGATGTTATGTTGCATAAACGAGTGCTTTGACGTTTTTATTCGCGAAACCTATATCGCTCTATTAAACAAATTTTACCATGGTTCAAGATAACATTCATTTTCAATGTGACACATGTAACAACATTGATGTGTGTGTGTGTGTTCATGTATGTGTGATAAAGCTTGTTACTTTGTTATGCATCACCACCTTCCTCAGTGTCATCATCATCATCATCACCGAAAATGTCCTCCCCAGCCAGACCACGAACTACCATGTCTTCTCGGTGTTGTTTCATATATTCCTCTTTCATGTCCTCAACGCGTTTGAGCAAATCAGGATGTGTGAAAAAGTCTGAATTTAATTCACTGATTACAAATTGATTTTTTTGTTTTTAATACCTGTAAAATGCTGTCGTGGATCTTGCGGTTGCTTCAATAACAAATCTCTGTAATTCCGGTTCACCTCATTTGTTGACGAAAAAAGATGAAGTACCTTAGGAAAGCTGAAATCATGTGATGGATTTCAGGATGATTGCGCATATACCGCTCATTGTTGATCCGTGTCTGAGTCTATCATTGAGAAAAGTAACGATAAAATTCATTTGTCTATCTAATTTGTAATTGTACATACTTTCAAATTATTGGTGTGCCATTGTTGCTCGTTACTCAGTGCTCCGAGGTCTTCAGCTTTTCCCAAGTCATACGGCTCCATTGCGATTGGTGGGTCATGTTTCGGTTGTGCTGAACCCGTGTCAGCAGTATCCATACTGCTTTTCTAAAGGAAGAAAGGCGGAGAGAGGGATAAGTAACCGGCTGATATAAATTGGCACAGAGTAGAAAAGCGTTTGCGTACAAAATGAAGCCTAATAAATATCAGTCGTCCCTAAAAGCTGCAAATAGAAATGTATTTCTACCTACCTTATTTTGAAAATAGTTTGGTTATTAGCGTATCTTTGGGTTTCCTAGGAATAATAAAAAGTATTTAGGCAAAACCATGAAACTTTCAGTGTCTTCTTCCACGACTATCGGTCGCATTTTGTATGGCAAAGGATTGGAACTGACCAGCTTTTTTCTTTGAAAAACTGCAGCGGGTTGTGATCAGTTACATGTAAATTTACATAAATAATTAGACAAAAATAAAAACTAACGATTCTCTTGTGTTATTCCAGCATTTCGTTGCCTTTCCTTGTTTGATTTTTCGTTGTAAATCGACTGCCTGCAGCTGACCTATCAATGCAATCTGACATTTTGCGGGTTCTCGACTGAAAGTTTTGGTAACTACTCAAACAAATCGGATTATCAAACAGTTGGTCACTAGCGTTTTGTGATCCACTTTTCATATTTCACAAAGAAGAAGCAAAAATTGAACAGAAACACAAAAGCAACTCTTCTAAACTTTCCGGCGGTTCAAGTTCGGGACTCAAACAAATTAGGTCTATTTTAAATCAAGAACCTCAATACCGATTTCAAGCTATATTTACTTTGAAATTATGGACTGACATAAAGAGCGGGTTAATTTCTCGATAGTTTAAAAGTTAATATGATTGAATAGTGGATAATTTGATAGGTATCAGGAGTGGGTCCAACAGTTATTATGCATTGATCAAATTCTGAAACATGCTTCTAAGTGATGAGTTGCTTGACGTATATCATTTCAATCCACAGTAAAACCACTATAATTTTAAGTAAACGAACCCAAACTTGAGATAAATTCAACAATTTTATTCTACCTGAAATCGTAGAATGCAACTTATACCCTACTTGTCCAATGTCGCTCTTTTTCTTGCTTTAAAAGCGGTTCTTAAGTCATTCGATTGCACTGTACATTGACGCTAACTCTTCCTGACGCGTGTACTATAAACTTTTGTTTCACTATTAAAATCACTGTATACTAATGGTCGAGGCACTGTGGTGTCAATATTCTGCTTCAACTGGATTGCGTAGATGAAATAGCAAGTTATCCGCAACACTAATCGAAATAAAATTATTTATCTATAAAAAATAACTATATAGGAAAACTTTGTGGGCCTATTTTAGCTGCGTTCATTTGAGAAAGCATACAAAGTTAAGATGCATAATATGGGCTTGATAAATATACGTAAAAAGTGGGTAGATACATGACTTGTGGGTCGTTATCTGTCTTACGGTACCGAGAATCAATAAAGTTCCAGGATTAAACCTCAGAAAAGGATTAACCAGAGTCAAATGGTAGAGCTGAGAACGATAATGCTTGGATGAGATTTATTTTCTAAACCCATTCAGTATTATGTCGTTACCTTTATCCTTGCAACACTTGGAACTTTTCTGATCGCCAGGATTGGATGTTTTTCAATCACCAATACTCGAGGGACTGGTTGCACTGACTGAATGACTCGTACTTCCGCACGGTTTACGGTATATTTGAGGCACCCGGTGCTCCCTAGTTGATCATTTGTTTTTGCTATTAATATTCATTAACTAACTCGCATCGGTATTGCATTCGCCTACTTTGTTCGTCGCCGACGATGGTACAGTAGTTGCGTCGAAAGAAGGAAAAGACCTGAGAAGGAAGATAGTTGCTATACTCCATTTGGCACATAAGTGGCACCTGCCACCTAATTCTGGTAACAGTCAGTCACTCTCGGGGAACGCAAAAAGCGTAACAGAGAGACAAAACCCTAGGTAGTTTAAACGTGCAAATGATATATTTCACAAAGGAAACGACGAGACATACTGGGGTGCATGATCATCAAAAACAGTAATTACTGTTTTTTGTTCCAATTATGCTGCATGGGATAACACAGCTTCACCCTGAGCTTCCCGGAGATCCACGTACTTTGTTGCATACTCCCCGAAGAACAATAAAACGTGAGGTTGGTACTGGTGTATACAATTACCTTAAGCTCGAGCAAGGATTACAACTGATTCTTACAGATATATTTGTTCTTGACCGCTATGTACAAGTACATTTGGACGATTCGTCCATTTTCCGCGGGTCTAATCAAAAACTTTGTCCCATATTGGGTCGTTTCTACAATCCGAGATCAAGGGCATTCATCATTGGGCTTTATGATGATACGCCCCAGCTGAAGGATGCAGAATCGTATCTATCGGATTTTATAACTGAATTAGAAACTTTGTGTACGGCTTCATTCAAAATCACCCGCAGAAGTCAACCGAATGTTGTATCTCTGCGCAATCTCATAGCTAATGATCTCGCAAAAGCTCTAATCAAGCAGATTAAATACCATTCGGAGTTTTCAAGTTGCACCAGATGTATACAGAGGGGGTTAGCATCAATCGCCATCTGGAAGTCCCCAATATCCAAGGCATAAGAAGAACAGATTGCACATTTTGAACACGATCTTGATGTGGACATGTGAAACTTGTTCCTCAACGACTGCATGCCTAGTGTTTGTCTGGGACTAATGAAGAACCTTTTAAATCTGTGGCAAATGTCTAGCCTCATTCGTCATGTACTCTTGGGTGCTCGTCAAATGGGTACTGTTAATCGGCGAATGAAAAACATAATAGTGTTGACCGTGTAATTTTCCACGTGTATGCCGGACTTTGGAGGATATGAAATATTAGAGGGCCAGCGAATACAAACCATTTATGTTGTACATTGGTTCAACTGTGATGAAAGATATTCTGCCAATTGAATACTATGAAAACTTCCTATATTTTTCAATCACAGTGTTCATTTTGTGCATCCCGATGTAGTGCACTGTGTACTTGGATTACTTGGTCTCGCTAGCCACAAAGAGAATTAATCAGTTCATGAAGTTATACGGATACTCGGAAGTGATGTTCAGTGTGCATAATTGGCTACACATATGTGAGTACTTGGAGTTGAACGGAACTTTAGACTCGATCCCAGCCTTTCCCTTTGAGTTCTTCATGCAGACTATTTGATGTTGCATTTTGAGCAGGAATATGGTTGCAGAACCGGTATTCCGTAGAATTCGTGAACGGACATTGGAGGCAGCGCATTACACCAAGGTGGGATGACGCCAAGACAACAGGTGTGTCAAAGTGGGGTTTACGAAGGACCAGTTTCAATAATCAACATTCGGTTTTTACGTTCCGTCAGCCTAATTGCTACCCATTGATTGGTAACACTCCATCTGTCATGTGCGACCAGAAAGGGATATGGTACGTTACAAATCGTACAATTCCACGTAGGCTTTATTCACGGCACCACTGAATTCGTCACTTCTACAAACTCACGTATGCTACGGGTTAAACAGTTTAATTCTCAAGACATTTGTGACCAAGATACAAGCCAAAGGTACACTGATGCCACAAGGTGAACACCAGGTGTTTTACCCAATTGTAAATATGTGTAAATGTTGAATGTAAGATTGTCATACTGTTTATTTGATCATATGATTTCATTAACTGCAGATGTATGCTGTTGTACAGTTCACCGAGGAGAAATGCGTTGGCGTAGTGTCGAAGAGTTCGTTGATTTGGATCAATCAAACGTTTTGGCCTAAGATGGCCAACAACAAAATAAAGAAGATGATAGCGTTATGTCAACCTCCGCTAGTGCATTCGGGATGCACAAAATCCGAGTGCATAGAATTGTTGGTAAGTATACATTATACGATAACTTAGAAAGACAGCTATACCGAGGAATTACTGCTAGAGGATGTATTGGAGGAGCGGTCATAATTACAATCAATAGATGCCACAGTGGCAAAGGAAATATTTAACAAACGAAAACCGTAAGTTTGTGATGTCATACAGTCCGGTTTCAGTAAACCAGTGCCAATTTCATATAGTACCTCTGACGGCATGGACAGTAAGCATCGATGTCCAATGGATTTGGACAGATCTAGAAGTTCCCCTTGTTTGGAGGATATGTTGCCCTTGAAATCATTAAGAGAAATGGACAATTATATGACGCCGTCGACAAGCAGATACATAATTTATTACAATCTGAACTCTTTTAGAAACAATCCCAAAATCGCCTCAACGCCTAAGAAGGCATTGTAGAACATGCTGGAATAATTTTGATTATTGTATTAAATCCATTTCCATATTTTGTCATTACAGGAATAAGAAGAATATAGATGTGCAGTCCTCGCTCGCTCCAAAAAAATATGCTGACATGATTATCAGTAAGTCGTAGCCACAAATGTTGCAAGTACCTTCCAGAATCCATTAAATCCTTTCACTGCGAAAGGAATCAGATGAACCGCAAGATGGACTTGCTGTATGAGGCCCTTAAAATGATGAACACTGGATGGTTTGCAGCAGACCAGTTCAAAACTTGCGGAATTCCGTGAACTGGAACGCAAACTATCATGTGCAAATCACTATGAGTTAATGATAATTAAACAAACTTTATTGATCAGCTGAGTGTGAAGAAAACTTCTGTCCAACACCAGAGCGGCCAGGTCCGGAGACTGCACACGGGACATAACACGGTTCAGTTCAGTTCAGTTTTTACAACCATTAACCATGGACTTTCGTGAGCCGGTTTTGGTTGCTGGTGAATTCATACAGCGTAGCGTTAGGAAAATAATGAGTGGATGCAATAGCGCTACTGTTTGTGACACCCAGCCACACCACTCAGTGTCTCTAACCATCGGTAACCATCATCCCGAGGTCCCCAGCCAGGGAGCCTAACGGGGCCTATGTGAATTGGTCTCCTGATTAGGGTTTTCATACCCTCATGCCAGGTCCTCGTTTGATTACCCTTTACCTGTTCTAACCGCTACCTGCCTCAGTAAACATCGCTCGCCGTGGCAACCTATTTGGTAACATGCGTAACACATG